GCATAAGAATCGTAACTCTGTCTTGCCTAATTTTGGAGTTATTACCATTTTATTCATTTTTACATTGTTTACATTTTGAACTTTGTCCGGGACATAACTCGGAAACCATAAGAGGTATCAACAAGAAACTTTGTACGTTGATAGATCGCATTGATCAAAAGTGCCGTGCAAAGAACAGTAAATCTGCCTTGCCTAATTTTGGAATAATTGCACTTCGAACTTTTTCAAGGAACATAACAGCATCACCCGGTTCAAACTGGGCTCCTGTTTCTAGACAATATTCATAAGATTTTCCTAGCAGATCAAATAGGCACTTTATAATAAGTCTATTTAAACAATTGCTTTTGATAACATAATGGTATTTAAACAAAAATATTGCAGTCATGTTCTAGACATTTTAACCCATATAAAAAGATAATTACTTTGTATATTAGTTTTAAGTCACGCAAATAAAAAAAATTAAATCAGGACACTAATCTCAAATATATCTTCAATTGTCCTAGGTCAAAGACAAATGAAGTTTGCATTCAATTTAATATTTTAAACAAAATCAAATAAAAACCTTGGCATATTTTAATGTACATGTTTTAAATCATTGTTGTGTGTGTCAATCATCTATCATGACAACACATCTTTTTTCTCCCAACAGATGAGTGTAAACACAGAAAGTGAATTATTTCTAAAGACACAGAAAAATTTTCAAAGGCCCAAATTAAAACTGTTATTATGCGGGCGGTTAAATTTTTTAAAAAAGGGTTTTTAATTTTTGGGAAAATTTTGAAATTTGTGTTCTTCGATGGGAAAAAAACAAAAATCCACCGTACGGACCCTTTTCCCTTAAACAAAAAATTTTGGGGAGCGGAAAAAGCACGTGTGCAATGGGGTTTTTAATTTTAAATTTAATTTTAAAATTTAAAGAATATTAAATTTTGGGATCCCGAAAATTCTTTGCAAAAATTACGCAAATTTTAAATTTTTAGGTTGGGTTGGGAACAAAATTTACCCCCACTATTGTGGAATAATCTAATTGATAATACCGAAAAATATGCAGGCGTTTGGAAACCAGAATTTTTCATTTCCCAAATATAAAAAACATAGGGTGTGGTTTTAGTTTAATTCCGGTTTTTTCATCAAAACTTTCCCGGCAAAATTATAAAAATTTTTTAGGGAAACCCTTTACGAGTGTTAAAAGTCCCAAAGCTACAATTCAGGGCATTTTACTTGGGCCCTTCAGAAGAGAAGACGGGATTTCAAATTACTTGTGTTTTAAACTTTTCGATTCGTAATGTTCATGGTTTCCTGGTGACCTTAATTGTTAAAAATACCCAAAACAAATAACCCCGCCTTTTCAGACGTTAAAATCAAAAGAATAAAGGGAATGGCAAAAACAAAAACTGAAAAAACGATGACAGAAAACCAATTCCCTGAAAATAAATGTTTTATAAGAAAGGGAGGAAGAAACGGGGTTTCCTAAATGCAGGAAAAAAGAACATCAAAGAAACGAAAGAAAAAACTTGATAGGGAAAGGAAAAGGGAACAAGATATGTGGCGTTGTTCATCTACCATCAACAAAGAGGGAGTCTCAGAATCTTGAAAAAGAGGCGTCAGGCATGCAAGCTTCAAAGAGGAATTTTGAATTTTCAACGGCTAAGAAACCATCTGAATGGAAGCTAACAATGATGATGTTTACATTCTCAGTTTCTTTAATACTTTGTACCATACCATATCTCTATATCCGCATTATTATTAGATTGGTCTTGAAAACTGATGTGGAATATAATTTCGATTCTGCAATTCAGTTGATTTTGATGTTGCCATTTTTTAATAATGCCTTCAACCCAATGATTCAATTCATTTTCAATACAGAATTCAGACAATACATTCGTTCTTTTTTCATTAAATTGCTATAAACCAAATATACAATCATAAAAAGTTTTGTTTATACAGTCAAAACAGCTTTTGTGTAGTGTTTGTGGTTTTCCTTCAATTTTGCATTTTTGATGTTGTTATGGTAACTTAAAGCTTTATCTTTTAGTAAATGATTTCTCATTTTGAGATTTGTTACACTTTCTACGAGCGAGATGAATATAATGGTACTCTGATCAAATTGAGATTACCAGAGTTTTATTTGCCATTTACTCAAACATAACATACTATTTTACAAAAGAAAGCTAATGAATTGTGATTAACTAGATCATCAACACAGAATGTTGTAAATTGAAATATTATTTATTTTTGTCAAGAAAAATAATTTCAAAAGCATGATACATTCCATACGTGATACATGTTATAATTGAAGTTGTTTCATGGAAAGTAATGTTATTTTATTTTAAAGTGACAATATGTCTATCTGGGTGTAAAAGTAAATACACAGGTAAAAGTCAAGAAAACTGTACATTTTGCCATAATCTTTTTTATTTTTGTATTCTACCTCGCAAAAATAATCAACAACCCATGTGACTCCATGTGAAAAATCAGAACATAATCTGTTTCTGTGACATTTAATTGACAGATAGAGTGGGGCAGTAATTTTAAGTTTAAGGCAGCTTTTATATTCTATCCTTACCGTGTTTATTTTATTTTTATTTCTATTTTTAGGTCAATGACCATTATAATAGTCAATCTTTTGAAATGTTAAATAAATAAAGCTCTATATGACAACGAAAATAATAAGCATAATGTTACATTAATTATATACAGTAATTGTCTAACGCCAGCAACACTGACAAAAAAAGATTTCTTTAAATGTTCATCGTGCAATAAAAGAAACAAAGCTTACAATGAGCATACGTGGTGCATGTCATTCAAAATGACACGTTAATTTTGCAAAAAATTTAAATACTATGAATGAATTATCATTATTAGTTTTGAATATAAAAATCTTGTTTAAAATCATATACTCATTTTAATTTAAAATAATATAAAAATGGAGCAGTAAATTCGGCTCCTGTGAAAGAGAAGTGAGCGGAAGCAATCGTTAACAGATAAATATTGTTTTATCAGTGATAATTGCTAATATAAAAAACAAATGTATGTTGTCGTTTATACAGTATCTTTTGTACTGTTTTGCGATTTTTATTGTGCTGTTTGATTACATTTATATGTATTTTCTTTTATTCTGTTAACTATGAAATAAAAAACATAGAATTATAACTTTTCTGAAGTGACTTATAAAAGATTGAAAAATTCAGTTCAGTGTTGTAATTTATCTCTGGTCTTTCGGAATCATTGATATCAGTCGTTTGATATTGATTACAAATAAGCCGGTGCCCGTGGACATGAGAAATGTGTCACCTTTCACTATCAGACTCACACAAAAGAGCGTCTGCAATTTTCACAGCTTCTTCTTTGTGATTGCATCGTCAGAACCCATGGTAATTGATTTCGCTGAACTACATTCGAATAAAGTGTATAAGTATCGTACGCATGGGTTATCTTGGATGTGTTTTATGTCTCTCGGAGGATTTTTTATATATTTTAAAATATGTATGATAGATTGATAAAATCAAATTATGATTGTACAAAGGTTATCGTGTTCATATTTGTAAGGAAAGTTTTGTCGCTTAATACAATTGTTCCATAAACAGTGACAAATGCCAGTTTTAAAGCATTTTTTTGTGTTTTAATGTTGAATTCTGCTAAAGCTGTGCTAGGGGACGTAGACGGTAACTTGCACTTTCTATTACCGTCCATGAACAGGCTCTATCAAACCAATCCTGAAACATTTCCAATTTTGTGTGTTCTTTGGGGATATTGTATAATTACCCTTAGGATTTGAAGCCTGCTTTTTAAATTTGGTTTTGACGTCTTATCTGTGATATGCAGCCTTCATAATTTCCGATCCCCTTTCACAATTCCATTTTATTTAGTTCCGCCTATTGATATCTCGTTTAGTGCACACACACATTATTTTACTTGGAGATCATACGCCGCTTGTCATGGAATGGCACGAAGAGTCACATTGAAGATTCCATGATAACCGCCGTATTAAAGATCTGCGGATGTTTCTAAATTAAAATTTTACGATTTCCGTGTGTTAGCGTTGGATTCTGCCTAGGACGGTGCTAAGAGGCGTGGACGGTAACTTGCACTTTCCATGAACAAGTTCAATCAAACCAAGCCTGCAACATTTTCGATTTTGTCGTTTTAGGCGTTTTTTTTAGAGATTCCATATTTTAAGGTAGATCGCGACACTTTGCGAACTTTCGAGTAGCGTCTTCAAATTTGGCATATTAAAAGTTGACCATATTTCTGATTCCGTTTATTTTATTTCGATTGTTTCAGCCATTTTTTCTACACATGACGTAAAAGTTGACCATCAAAGCCCGTTTTTGAACATGACGTCGCGGCGTTTCCTTGGTAACTATTACGGGCAAAACAACGCCACCGGCCAATAGATTATCTTAAATTATACAGTATCCGACGGAAAATACTTTTACCGTCATGCTGATATAAAATTATTGTTTTACGCCGGCAAATACTTGAAAAATGAAAAGAAACGTGTCATTTTTATGTAAAATTTGACGTTCAGTTGAGCTAATTTTGTCGGCTTTAAAGCCGCTTATTAAAAAAATCCTGAAATATTTTTTTTTTTTTAAAGTACTTTAAAATGTATTTTGAGTCGAAAAGACACAAAAAATAGGGGGTCACCGACTCAGTTCTTTCGGTACACATGATTTTATTTCCCCCACCCCTTGCGTAATTTTTGTAATGAATTTTGACGTTTGAGACTTCAAAGCGCGGCAATGGTTGTAAGCGTATCATGAGCATTTTTTCTAGTGTTTTAATTGTCCTTAAATATATTTATACATAAAAACAACAACAATAAACTTCCGTTCCAAGACAACGCGCTTATAATGTGTCTTTGAGATGAAATATCAAATTCATATGTGAAATCTATATCTAAAAACAGTAACCTTTCAATATAACATAAAATGTGTCATCTAGTTTAACTAACTGACTCTTGATTTACCGTTGATTCTTTCTGACAATAGTTTTAACCCATTTTCTGGATCACGTAAGTACGCCCTTTTTAAATGGTTGTAAGAAAGTCCGGTTTCAGAAATCTTTTTTTGCCATAGAAACTGTTATAATTTTTTCATTTTTGCATAAATTGTGTTCTATTTCAGCAGCACACGCACGTGACCGGCACTTGGTCAATAAGTACTTTACTGCTTCATTTGTTGTCAAAATATAGCTTTCCATTTCCTTGAATCCTATGCGTTGATCTTTGATAATATCCTGTAGAGCTTTTGCATCATGTAAAGCATCGTGTGCGTCGAATGTAACACCGAATGTATGTTCATACAGACTAGTTAGTTTATATGACCGCAATTTAGGCTTCTGTTTTCTGAGAAGAGGTAGAGTGTCGATAAAACCATAGACATTATTACGAAAGAGCGGTAAGCACTTTGTGTCTGTGACAAACTTCAAAAGGAATTTCATGTCGAAAACCTTTCCATTGTGGGCGGCTAAAATAACTTTCCCTTCTCCTAAGGCATTCAGCCATGATAGAAATTCAGACAAGGCCTCTGATATATCGCAGGATTCAACTTCCTGATTATGTTGAAAAAGATACCTATTTCCTTTTATTATGCGAATCTCTAAACCGTTGACAGCAGTTGCTTTTACATGTATGTCACCTTTAGGTAGAACGAATTTGGTGAATTTCGAATTGCCGCAGACAGCCGAAAGCTGTACAATTTCTGCATTCTCGCCTACATTCGACGTTTCTAGATCATAATACACGACAGTACACTTTGGATGACATTGTTCATCCTTCACAATAGGCTCGGGGAGCGGAGTCGTGTCCAAAACTTCTAATTCGTCAAAAGCACAGAATGACTGGTATGAGACGCCTTCCTTAATTTCGGAAAATCTGAATTAAATAATCTTTTCTTTTTTAATTCAAACCTCCGGCGTTTAGCTTCTCTACTTTGTTTGTAAATTTTCTGATTTTCTCTTATCCTTTCCTGAACAATGATATGTTTTTCTGTACCTTTGTTTGGAGAAAATTTGCAATTTTTAGTTATATCGGTTAAGTACGCATTGCCGTCGTTAAACTGCGAAACAGCAGCAGATACTCGGAAATCAAAACTCTCACTATGACTGTAATTTCGAACTTTTGGCGTCTTGCTCCAATCAATATGATTAAGAGCTTCATTGGCTTTTGAAGATGCTGATATCATCAATTTCGGCGCATTGAATATATATGGTGCTAGAAGATTTACTAAGGTCAGTTTTATATCTATATCGTGTAAATCACAAGGCATATTTTTATGATGTGTAGCGTCTCTGGCTACAAATTTACGCCATGTATGCAACTGCTATGGTTTCCATACATATGTGGTATAATAGCTTGCAGGGCAGCTCTCATATCGTCTGCTGATGTGTTGATATTTTGCTTAATTGCATACGAAATTTTTTTAATGAAGCTATCCCGCACAGAGGGTGTCAAAGCTTTATGCGACTTCTTTAAATTGTCCTTCTTACTTCTTAACCCCCTTTTATGTGATGAATATCTGAATACTTAATTTAGTCCGGATTAACGTATGTTAGAACTTGAATCCTCTTCACCTACGACTGCCGAATACTTTTTGCCGTTTGATAATGATTCTCTGTGTAACTGTACTGCAATATCCGGCTCCATAGCTTTTGCGCTTTTGCACCAGTTCTTTCTACAGTCGTGCTGTCGTTTCTTACGTCCGGTACGTTCATAAAAAGAGCACGTCGCACAGTTCTTAATCCTTGTTGAAAAGTTTAGACACTTCTTGGCACGAATCCCAACGACATGACCCCAACCTGAAATATTTTTGGGTTATAACATTTTTATGGATTTTTTATGGCAAAAATATGCATAAATATTGCGAGACTTTAACAGTGTATTTATTCCATATACATGTACATCAAATAGTAGTTTTATTACGTTCGCACCAACACTTTACAGTTTAATAAAAAAATACAAATCTGTGATCAAAATTAAGGGAAATTGAAAACGTTGCAAATGGATTTTGTAAATTTATGTTACTACGCTAAATTTAAATTCCAACGGTGCATTGACATTGCATATTACTTGCATTGTCCTAGCATTTTTATATTACAGGTTGATATTTAATACAATGACTGGTTTGATCATTATTTATTTATATATTTTTGTATGATAATATAACATTTTATAACTACTTATGAATAAAATATTTAGAATATTAATGTAAAAATATAAATGTAATAATTCACTGCAGTGAAACATATTTTCCATATTTTCACTAGTATCCTAAATCCCGTATTATAGAAAATACTTGAATATCCTTTATGTATTCATGAGAGATTTATATGAAAAATCATGATTCCTCGAAACCCAATCCTCAGTGAAATTATCTGCATGAGCAAACACATATATAAATATTAAAGAAAGGAAAATACCTGGCAAGCTATTCATGCCGCGACCGCGCTTTGGCCATGCAGCATCTTGGCTTACCGTCATATTTACTAAACCGTCTGTAGAAACTGGGGTGCTCTCTGAAATGACGATTGGCCCGGTAAAACACATTTCCAAGTGGGTTACTGTTATATTTTATTTAATATGAGACTAATAAAGAATAACCGGCAATATGGGGATTGCGACTAGAATATCATCAGTGCAGTCTGATCAAAATCACAACTGTTTGCTTAATACTAAAGTTAAATGTTTGTAATACTGTTGTCGACATAAACGTATAATAAAATAGACTTCTTCTATAAAAAAAGTCCACTGCAAATTTAGCGACATTTCTTGTAATGAAATAGGAGAAAAATACCTGTTATTTCATCTTTTGCTACTGGCATATCTCCTTGATCACGTGTCATCACTAGCGTACTTATGTCCTCAGAAAATTCAGCATCTGAAAAGTATAGTGAGTGCTTATCTATAAATCAGTTAAAGCCACATTATGCTTCAGTTACCTGAAGAAAGTAGCACTAATTGAGAAAATATTTCATGAAAGCAAAGCAGAATTCACTTTAGCTAGTATGATAATTAAGATAAACAACAGAAACAAAAGATGTCTCAAAAGAACAAGCTTTTAAGAATTACAATTAAAATAATTTTAAGGGCACTATGGACCTTCTATTACATATGTTAATTATTGTTGCGTTGTTTGAGAGTATACAACAAGATGTAATGCATGTTCAGCCTTTTAACATTTCAGATACTCTTTTTTTATATTTCATATATAGGTATTTTGGCAAATTTTCATCTGTCATAGACATCAGTGATTATCGTCAGAATATTTCTGCGTATCATGTTTACTTTTGCTTCTTGCAAATTAACAAATGTAGAATAGTGACATTTTCTGGAGTAAGAGCAAATGTCTATTTGTCTCCCTTTTTGTCTCCCCTTGATTTTTTAATGAGATAAACAATAATATATACGTATAAACATTAGGATTAAATTTGTAATATATTGAAAAATACATATGCAAATAATATGTCTTTTAGAATATTATTATTGATTAAAGCAACTTGTAAAGAAAAATAATTGCACTTGCAAACTATATATAAATGCAAATTTGACGCACCATTGTAAGTAATTATTCGTTTAGAAAGCTATATAAGTAACGAGTAGTTTCGTGTAAATAGTAACGTGACTATGATATTGATTTTACAGGTCTAACACTAAAAATAATGTTACCGTCTTCAGCTTCAAGAATATCCATGGCTTCTTCAAAAGTGATTTGGTCATCTTTTTCATTGACTGCTGCTATAGTGTTGTTTTCCTTCTGTAAAATCTCCTTCTCTAACATACTTGCTTTGAAACATGAATCTTTTGCCGTTCTTTCAAAAACGGGTCCAGTTAGTCGTTCCACTTTTTTCAGTGTTTTTGGTGAATTCCAGGAATACTCAAGATGTTTAAAAATCCATAACATGTGTTGCACCAATGCCTGTGTGTATCATACCTATACACAGAAGGAGGATACATGACAAATCACAGTGTTTGCATAAACTTTCAAGGTGCTTTATATATTTTTTAAAACCGTCAGTGCATACCAGTTTGTAAAGAAATCATTTGTAAGTGATATCATGAAAGTTGTGTCTTAATTTTATATATTATATTAATGGACCTCTACTTAATAAAAGCGAAATTTACGAAGGACGCTTTATGTCAAATTTCAGGAATCTAAGTTACATAAAGAAACTTTCGCGCTACATTGATATAAACATTTACTCATCAGTTGTGTTTATATTATTGTAGTAAATAATAAAAACGCGCGTGCACGATGTTTCCGCTTAAATAAAACTATGGAAAGCCATTACCAAATAATTTAAATCTGTGACAGACTAAATGCTTAACAGTACCATTTTTAAACATTTAAGGAAACTCACCAATCGCTGAATTAACATTTACTGCATACGGGCGTTTCGTAGTATTTGGCATTTTGTGCCGCCTTGAAGAAGCTTTTTTCGTGTCTGATGAACATCTTTGACATCGAAATACAAATACAGAACAGAGTCCATATTTGCATTCTCCCGTAATGTCTTTCAATTGTAACGCATTTCCACAGTTCCGGCATCCTTTGTCAAACTTACTACTAAAATAGCGGATATCTATTATTCTTCTGCCAGGCAACTCCTTGGAGGGACATATCACTGACTTTTTCCAAGGCTGGCCATGCTAGTAGCCTTCTTCTGTGCTGACATTTTCACAAATCTCCCATTACCACTATGCCTAGCGGTACTTTTCTTTATATATGTTGCAAATCCGGAATCCATTTTGTTTGTACAACTTGTTTAAATGACGTCATGAACGTCATTATTGCATTAGATGCCGTTTAGCGGAATTTTAACACAAGGCGATCTTTTCAATGATAAACAAAATAAGAAAAACCATGTAATATCGTGAAATTTATCTAAGGGGGTAGGGGAAATAAAATCATGTGTACCAAAAAACTGAGTCGGTGACCCCCTATTTGTTGTGTTCTTTCGACTCAAAATACATTTTAAAGTACTTTTGTAAAAAAAAATCAAACATTTATTTCAGGAATCTATTACTAAGCGGCTTTAAAGCCGAAAAAAATAGCTAAACTGAACGTCAAATTTTACATAAAAAAGACACGTTTCTTCCCATTTTTCAAGTATTTGCCGGCGTAAAACGATAAATTTTAGATCAACATGACGGTAAAAGTATTTTCCGTCGGATAATGTATAACTTAAGATAATCTATTGGCCGGTTGCGTTGTAATTGTAATAGTTACCAAGGATACGCCGCGACGTCATGTTCAAAAACGGGCTTTTATGATCAACTTTGACGTCATATGTAGACAAAATGGCTAAAACAATTGAAATAAAATAAACGGAATCTAACCAGAAATATGGTCAACTTTTAATATGCCAAATTTGAAGACGCTACTCGAAAGTTCGCAAAGTGTCGCGTACTACCTTAAAGCAGATATTTAGAATAAACGTGATTAAAAAAAACAGTCTGGTCTTTCGCTGTAAATAAACGTGGAGATTTATTTGCGCAAATTCTAAAATACAACTACTTAAATGAAAATCTAAAATGAAATTTAAAAGAAAACAATAAGTAAGAAACAAAAATATGATCTAGATATCCTTAGAATACATTCATAAATATTTTTATGATTGCAACTGTTATAATTTTTAAGATGATTTGATGAGTGATTTGTAGATAATATTTTATGTTAATACTGATACTTTGTAATATCTATGCGTGGGGAAAAACAAACATAAATATTATTGCAATTGTGTTTTGAATTATTGTGATATCTCATGAGTATAAATTTATATACAGACATGTCATTTAAATAATGAGAGAAAGAGAAATAATGTTATTCATCGTTTTAAAAGACTTTAGAGTATTGACGCGATCTGGAAAAAATATTAGTTACGTATGAACGATATTATCATAAATATCGTTGTTGTTTTTTTCTAAATATCAAGGGAAATATCTGAAGTGGATAGTTTGTACGCTGTTCAGACAAAGGACTTGTGCTAGTATGAAATAAATATAATCAGTATAAAGGATAACAAATATGCAATACAACGTATACACATTTTAAGAGAAATTTATTTGAGAATGTCTTTGTTTTTAATTTACTAAAATTTAACTTTATTATTATATGCATTTATAATATATGTATTGTTCTTTGTCTTTATGTAGGAGAACACGACAACATAAGACAAATAACCGCAGCGTTGCTTTTAAATGTACTAATTCTGCAAAGAATTTTGTTCAAGATACACTTCTATTTATTATGATATAAAAAGTGTAAACTACTATTTTATATCTTTAGTTTTTAAATGGAATTTTGTCTCATGGGCGTTTATTAAAGCAACGCAGAACGAGGACCACGTACACTTTTTTTCAATAGCAAATACACCAGAAGATGAACATTGTGGTAAGTAAAACATGTTTTTAAAAATTTATTATTGACCTTGACATTTAATGTTATATCAAGGCCATATTAACATTATTTATCAAGTCGGTATTTTGTCATTTTATAAGACAAATTCGAAAATAAATAAAAACGCCAGCACAATGTATTAAGCAAAATTCATTTATTTGATCTTTGTGGTCTCGGTCTTTTTAAGGTCATTTTCATTTTAAATTATTTAACACGTCGGTCGTGTCATTTTTTGTTCTTTTATGCATCAAGTTCATAAATAAATTACAAAGAGATCTTAAAAGAACAAACAATAATTTGACTTTCACTATCATCAGCATTCAAAGATCATTATCAAAATTGGAAAATGCAACATGTTGGTTTTGTCATAAGTGTCGAATTTCCAGGGAAATGTCAGATTTATGAATTAATGATAAGTTATCACCATTTCAGCTGAACTTAATAACTAGACCTTTAAATTTAAGTTCATTTAATGGTTAAGGGCATATTTGAATTATTGAACGTGTATGTTTTTTATGAAACACATTCGTCAATAAATATTAAAATTATGATAATTCAAGCAATTTCAATTACTGAAAATTGATTGTTAATGTTTTTCAATATATCAGTTGCTCACAAGTGTTGTTTTGTCTAGACAAAAATCTAAACCTAAAAATTGTGACAATTAAAGCAAATTTTGATAATTTGACTTTGTTGATATATGTCATTTTAACGTCGTTGTAGTATTTATGTTTACAAAATGTCGGTTTTTCCACAAGCGTTGCTGTGTCCAAAGATGAATCAAAGCCGTAAATGATAACATTGTTTTGGCTAAGTTTAGCAATTTCATTATTTCACATTGTCAAGGTCTAATAAACGTTAAAGTAATCAAGTTTATCCATTCATCAATTTGAAATATTACTTTGCACATATCCGCATTCGTTCGTTATAATTATTTAGATATACGGTAAAATAGATAATAATGATGATAATTGATGTAAGGATATACAAAATGATATAATATTAAGTTATTATTTTAGGTTAGATAATGGGTCTTTATAATCTTTATAATATATTAAAAAGAACTACAACATTAAACAGCGATTCTGAACAAGGTCAATGTCAATAACAAAGGTTAATGTAAGTGCTCGGAACTAGAAGAGCCGGGCCACTGCTCTTTTGAATGATACGGTAGCAGGCAGAGTTACAACTTGTTTCGGTAATATGTTCCATTTATTTAGGGTGTGAGGGAAAAGAAGATTTTGAAGTCTTTTTAACGTGTAGTTGACAGTTGTTGCTTTGATAATGCATATAAAAGTATTGTCTAAGCGGACCACTAGATATTAAGAGAAAGTATGGCTACGAGATTATAGGACCGGTAAAACAAGGACGTGTTAATCAGTATGCACACAATTCTCGTAGCAATTACTCCATACGGATCATTTCTACTGTGCTCTAACAATATCTGCGTCTGACTTATGTAAAACGTTTGTATTTAAAGCACAAACTGTAACAAATGTGACTGACTGCTGTTTGATCATCTCTTGGCCGGTATATCTGACTGTGTTATTGATTATCAGGCAATGGTATAGCTGTGCTTTGATAAATGTTATGTAAATTGTTAATGATATATTGTGCTATTGAAGTGTGGTGTCCCGTTTGCATTTCCAGTGGCTTGTTTTAAACGTGTTTCCAATTTTAAGAATTGCTTTATGTCTATACCAAAGTGTCATGCATTTTGCAGTGAACTAAGAATTGAATCAATTGATCAAGGTTGTTTGTAAGAAGCTGTTAATGATCTGTCCCGTGTGAGATTTTACGATCATGGCATTTACTGCAATTGAATTCAATTGTCTAAGGACGTTATAGTAAAGTACTCCGACGTAACATCTGCAATCAGAAGTACTTAGGTAGTACCATGTTTTTAAACTGGAGAAATACATGTGCCTTCATCCAATAAGAGGGAAGCCGACCAAAATTTAGAGAGACGATAGGAAAGAGATTGATACAATAAGAAATTCAAATCAAAGCGTCTTCAAGACGACAATGTGAATGCCCGCAACCTTATCCTCCTTAGGACTTGTAAGAGTAAGACTCCATTAAAGTCACTGCATATTGTCAGGCATGACATGGTAATTTCCGTTTCCCTGTAGGGCCAAACAAAAAAGACTTAACTGTTTGTTCAAGATAACGCGGTATATAAAACGATCAAGTCTCGTCAATGGACAATTGGTGGATATTTTAACATCTGACTGTCCCCGTGTGCGTGAATCTATCACGGTTTTAATGATCTCAAAGTTTAAGTGTTACCTATACTTCATGAATTGGGAGCTACTAACTTTGTGCATTATTTATAAATGATAGATTGAATGGAGAAAAAGAAACGAAAATATGTAAAAGAATTTATTTTTCATTTACAGTATGAAACTTGATGTATAAATATATCAATGAGAATAGTATAGTAAATAATGTACAATGACAATAATATCATCACGAAACAAACCTTAACAAATACAGAAAAAAGAAAACATACAATAAGTTAATATAATTGACAATTTGGTAAATAATTATATTGTTTTTGAAACAAATTTAACTTTATTGATGCCAGTACATGCTTATAGGATGATAAAATACAGTAATAAACTATAAGGCACCCAATAATTCTCTTGTAAAATATTTATTCTTGCTTGATATCAGTCCGACGAAAGTTACAAAAAGGACGTAGAGATAACCTTGAGAACAAATAAACAAATAAAAATGTTACAAAACTTTTATAGTCACAGACACCACCAGGAGTATCTTGGGGTAAATGCGACTGTCTTATTCTTTTCTGACCAGTGTTTACTTCATGACTATATTTAAGGCACACTATACATCTATTAACTTCTAATTTCTTCAGAAAGCACAAACATGGACCTTATAAGGTTTAAATAAAGATTTTAGAGCATATTCGATGGTTGTTACCCGTAGAACGTAGAACTCAATGTGAAATAATTTGTCCTAAAAGTAGCAAAATGTAAACAAGTAGTAGTTTGACTTCCATACAAAAGTACTAAATCACTATTACTGTACTAACTGTGAAAACAGAGGAGAAAGATCGATCAGGTTATTGGCCAATGAGTAACTTTAAGGAAAGTATAAAACGTATTCCAGAGTTTAAGCTTTTTAGAAACAGAAATACAATTATTTCTAGGGCACAATGTGCCTTTAATTTCAAACTCTGTGTTATAATTATTTTTTTTTTTTGCATAACACTACAACGTGGTCACATGACATTCTATACAAAATTGCATACGTGCCATACCAAACCATGTCATTCTCATATGGACGAAAATGTAATGGACATACTATTTAACGATTAGCTGTTTGCACAAAAGTTAAATAAAAAATGATCGTTTAGTTTTGTTTTAATTTTCAGGGGCGTCTAAGGATGTGGTCAACTATTCAAGTATCTGTGATTACAGTTATATTTTATGAATGGGGAGAATGGCTGTAACTGACTTGTGCAATACTACTGAATGATAGACAGAATAAAGAACATGGATATGAAAAAAAATGATATATTATAAAAATATAATATGATAGCATTTCTTGTCATTTACAGTGTGAAACTTGATAAATATTCAAACCAATACGAATAGTACAAAGGCAATTTTATAATCACGAAACAAACAACTATTAACGAAAAAAAAATATCATACAATCAAACATACAAATGTAAAAAGAATTATCATTTTGGTAAATAATTATATTGTGTTTAATTGTTGCAAATACATGCCAGTTGAATTACAAATGAACTGTTCTAAACAGTTACGCACATATTGTAGGAAATATAAATAAATAATTCATGGTTAGATATGTTTAACCCCAACTAGAAGAATAACGATATGATTGCCAGAATTTCAAGTTATCTTTTTTCTTGTTTGTCATGCGTCCAAATTTACATAAAAAACCACAAACATTTGTAGTTATAACATTGAGAAGCAAGAAAAGAAATGTTTTAAAATTTTCATTAGAAATATGAACACAATATATATATGATAGGCACAGACACTAGTATTAGAATAATGTGAGCACTCATGTTTACAGTTAACTTCATGGCCAAATTCATTTACACACTTCATTTTATTTATGAATTATATAGCATAGTATATGTATAGTATTTACTTGAAAGATGTTAATATTTAAGGGCGAATAAGCATACGTGTCTGTGATTTGACTTGTCTTCACAATCGAATGAAACGGTAGGGGTTCTTATTGCTTTTTTATTTTACTGATTTATATAGATGATGTCCATTTCTGCCGTGTCATTCTCTTCAGCAATATAAGCTGCAGTTTTGGCGAAATCTATACCAACGTATTCAGTAGGTGAATCGAGTCGCTTGGTGACAGCTTCTTTTTGCATCTTTCCATCTTCATTGAACTCGAGGTCAACATACATAAGCTGTCCATCTTCAGAGCGCTGAATGATGTTTAATACATTAATACATTAGTCAATAAATAATTAACTAATAATGATATTGTCAAGCTTCTGAGATAATTTTTGACATTAAAATGGACAATAATTCGAATGATTCATTATCATTATTTTGTTAATATATATTCGCTCAAAATAATATTTTATGACATAATGTGTTTCTGGAAACAATACAAAAGTGGTACTATAGTAAAAAGCATCAAACCCGTTCAAAACTTAATTGATGTATTGACCGCAAAATGTCGAGACATGTAAAAAGTTGATCACTTTTTTACCTCTTGTCTTAAATAAGATTTTAAGTGATTCTATAGTTGCTGGCATATTATTATAACAAGAATAAGCATCTTTAAATTTCAGAAGATCTAAATTTTTAAGGCGCCTGATTTTAAAGATAAGCATTAATGTTGAAAACATCATGTGGTAAGTTTGAACGTAGCATATGTTACAACAAAAAACCTGTAATTGTCATATGTATTAATTTATCAATTGAACTATTGAACACTTGTTTTTCCAGAAACACTTTCTGATTTAATTCTAATGACAAATGCGACAGAGAAGAATTTATAATTATTAGAGGGGATTTTGAAAAATATATTTGAATTATATTCCAACAGAAGAAGAACAAGACCTGTGTTTCAATGAAAAAGAGTCTCTCATTGCAGACTTATTGACAGAAAGAGACGGACTTCTTCTTCTTTACAAACGAATTAAGAACATAGCACAGAAAGAAAATGCCAAGCTCGGCAGCAGAAAGAATGAATAGGTATAGACAACGATTGAAAGAAAATCAAGAAAGATATAATTAAGGAAAGAGCAAGATGCCAATCTAGAAAGGAAAAGGGGCACATAAAAGGAATACAAGAATACAAACCAAGAGAACAAAGAGCAATAAGAAAACAATGGAGACTACGCAAAAAAACGCAAAGAGAAAACGAGGAGATTGGTATAAATGACATACTAGCCACACCCCCACAACCACCAACTGATGGTTCTTCAGATGAAAGAAGAAGAATAGGCAGAAGGAAAGTAAGAAAGGAAAGGTCAGCTGCCTATAGGAAAATTAAACAGCTTGAAGAATTACAAAAAGAAAAACGTCTTAAAGAGAAAATGAAGGAAAGACTCTACAGGTTGAAAACAAAGGATAAATCCAATTCCTCAAGGGCTAAATTGAAGGTTCTCATTAAAGGTAAAAAAATTAATACAGAAACAAGAACATGGCGTTCATAATGTACTTAGACAATTCCACACAGAAATATGCAGCTGTAAAAGCAGAATGAGACAAGCAAATTTTAACAAAAGTAATTTGCAGAAGTCTTCTAACAAGTACAGGCTTCAATCGTTTGCGTGCCATCAACTGAAAATATCGCAAAGACGACACCATGCAACGTCGGCGTGACGCTATTATTTCTTCCATGAAAGAGTCAGTGACAACTTTTTAAGCAGAGATGACAACAATAGAATTAAAGCAGGAATAAAATGTACTAAAACAAAAAAAAATGTGAAACTGCAAGTTAAGACTCCTAAATGACACATTGAAGAACCTTTATCTTAAATATAAGAGCGACAAAGTAGAGAGCAAAATGTCTTATGCAATGTTCTGAAGACTTCGTCCGTTTTATATTCGACCATAACGGTCATCAGATCGACAAACATGTCTCCCTAAAAGACATGAAAATGTAAATTTTAAGAGTGAGAAATTAAAACAATTGCATGCAGTTCAAACAAAGAGTCTTTGGAACTATCATATTTTCCGCGTTGCAAAACAAGTTTAGCGCACATATTCTGGATACGCTGTAATTTCTGTAACTCACTTTCTGAAATGCCAAACAATATAGCGTTGCAATAATCCAAATGTGAGATTACAAGCGACAATACTAGGATTTTTGTGGCGTCCTGAGTCAGATATTTGCGAATGCTCTTTATTCTCAAGTAATTTAATGTAATGTAATTTAATGTAATTTAATTTAAATTTATGCAGACGTTTAACCTATATTATCATTTTAATCAGATGACTTCAAATGTTTGAAGCTGATAAATTTTGAATCAAGGTACGAATGAAGTATTGAAATACAATAAAAATGCATCAGTTATATAACTATTGTCAATAAAATTAAGAAAGTCTTAATCTTGAACAAACAAGCCTCAAAAAGTTAACATATATATTGTCTTTTCCGTTACTTTGTTGCCTCATCCGTTATCAATGGTCACATGTTACATGTGCATTTCTTAAGAAAAATGGACATCAGGTCAAAAATACATTTCAGAGTGAAAGAGTTTCCCAAAAACATATCAAAGTCAAGCTTATTCACGAAATTTAAAAGATATCCATATTGTTTAATCTTTTAATGTAAAGATGAAGCTGAGATATTTGAAAACAAAATAAAATGTGCTACCTTCAAGTACTCATATGCTCAATGGAGGGCTCTTTTGATTATCATTCAAACTTGTAAAAATATTCATTTACTTGTAGTATTACTTTACCAAAAACACAAAACGCATGGAAGTTGATATTTTACTAATAAGTTTTTAATTTTTACTAACGGTTATTTAAAAGTTGTAAAAGAGAGGACAATCTTCCGTACAGTCGGTGGTTTCCATGGATACGTGTTCCAACATAGATGAGGAAAGATTGTTGCTGACTTTTGGAAAGTAATCAGCATTTGTTGTTATTGCAATTATTCGTTTTTGAAGAGCAAATATTTTAAGTTAACAGGTTTACATACTTTCTATTCAATATAATTATACGTTTATTTTAGAATTACCCTACTATAGAAAAAAGTATCAAACCCGTTCAAAACTTAATTGATGTGTTTCAGTTTCTGGAACAATTACAAATAATACTTGTCATATTAACAGTATTATTATTCAGATACTGGGAATAACATGAGCTATTCAATACTTTAAAAATGCCATGAACTATTCAAATTGTTAAAAACGTAACAGCTCTCGACGTGTTATATTTGGCGTTATCTCGTTCTGTCGCCTTTGCATTCAACACGAAAGAACTAATAAATGTTAATTTCGTCTTCCCCTAAGAATGTGCAGACGTTTTACACATATGAATCTAGTTTGTAACTCTAGTTTGTAACTGTATCTCGAATATTCAAGAAGTTAAAGTTATTATGTGTACAATTAAAATGCACATGACTTACATGACTTTGACTCGATGTTTTGCTTGCCGCGTTTTTGCACTTGCATATGTGTAAACAGTCTGCACATGCTTAGCGGAAAGCGAAAACGCGGTGAAATGAAATTAACATTTCATCGTTCTTTCGTGTTATTGACCTATAAGTCGCACATGCGACAGAGCGAGAGAAAGCTAAATAGACACCAAGCCGAAAATTGGGCGACAATACGATATTTTTATCTTCGTGTTGTCGCATTAAAATCTCGTATCGGCGCTTTCATATTTTCGTTTTGTCGTAATGTCGCGTTTGTAGGGAGCCGACACGAAGTAACGACGACACGTTAAAAAATGTGCGACAAAACGAAAATTCATATTTTTGCCGTTATTTCGTTCTTTCGTGTTATCGCCCCTTCAACAGCGATAGAACAAAGTAACGACATGGCAGAAATCACCTATTATAGTTAACAGTGTACATAATTCCGTTTCATTACCAAGAAAACGTACAACATTCTATTAACTATTATCCAGTAAGAATATAAATTATAAAACATATCATAAGCATGTTTTACAAGCTTTTTCATTCCGTTATTTGCATAACCTAATGACATATGAGGTAGTCATTAAATAAGTGACTTCACTTTTTGTTGTACATTTTAGTGGTATCTTTTGTCGGCTTGCCGGGACTCAAATATAAATGTGTTTGCATGAATGTGAACAACCGAATTGTTTTCTAAGCAACCATTTATTAGTGTATTTTAATTTTCAACTCACATGTAAATTTGTTTATATTAGGATTTAAATGTGTAAATAAACATACTGTAAGAAACATCATAGCTTCTTGGATAAAATGCTTATCAAATCCTTGCCATTACAAATGTATATATAATACGAGTACTTATACATAAACTTCAACAGTAAAAATGTTATCATCATTTTGCAATGACATCATGTGTGAGTATTTGATTTATCTACATTTCATATATTTGTATTTATGTTCATTTGTGCTTCAAGTTTCAACACATGCATTGATGCCTTATTCGTTTATTCAATATCCATTGTTCTTCTGCTTGAAAACTTAAACTGACGTTTATTTCAATAATGTTTCAAAACATGACTCGGTGCCAGTTACTTCAATTTTGTGTTTATTTAAAGTATGAATAGATGCCCTTTTCTTTACATTTATTAATTTTATGTTACAAACATAAATTGATGTAAATACATATTGTGTTGTTGTAAGTTACCTTTATGTTATTTATAATATACTAAAATAAAGCAGGAACATGTATTATTGTTATGTTTCAACCATAAATTGATGTTAATTCATATTGTGTTGTTGTAAGTTACCTTTAGGTTATTTATGAAATATTTGCAAAAAAAAGCAAGTAACATTTATTAATGTTATGTTTCAAATATAAATTGATGTTAATTCAAATTGTGTTCAAAAATATGGATTGATGTCAGTTACTTCAAGGTTATTTATGATATATTTGAAAACAGGAATTGATGCCTTTAACCTTATATGTATTTATATAATGTACCAAAATATGAATTGATGTTTATTTTTTTTTATTTTTGTGTCCCTTCGAAGAAGAGGGGGTATATTGTTTTGCAAATGTCGGCCCTTCGGTCTTTCTGTCGGTTTGTCTGTCCGTCGGTAGACCACATGGTTTCCGCTGATTATGTTGAAAACTTTTATCACAAAGTCTTCATATTTCACATAGTGATTGGTCATAACTAGTAGATGACCCGTATTGATTTTAGGGTTACTAGGTAAAGGTGACAGGGGCCTCAAATGTCAGAATGTTTTCCGCTTATTATCTTTAAAAGTATTCATCACAAAATCTTCATATTCCACATAGTGATTGGCCATAACTAATAAATGACCCCTATAGATTTTGGGGTCACTAGGTCAAAGATCAAGGTCACTGGCCTTAAATGTTAAAATGGTTTCCGCTGATTATCTTGAAAAGTATTCATCACAAAGTCGTCATATTTCACATATTGATTGGCCATAACTAGAAGATGACCCCTATTGATTTTGGAGTCAAAAGTCAAAATCACAGGGGCCTTAAATGTCAGGAGGGTTTCCACTGATTCTCTTAAAAAGTATTCATCACAAAGTCTTCATATTTCACATATTGATTGTTCATAACTAGTAGATAGTCCCTGTTGATTTTTGGGTCATAAGGTGAAAGGTCAAGGTCACAGGGGCCTCAAATGCCAGAATGGTTTCCGCTACAAACCATCGCAAAGTCTTCATATTTCATATATTGATCATATATTGGTCATTACTAGTAGATGACACGTATTGATTTTGGGATCACAAAGTCAAAGGTCAATGTCCCAGGGGCATTGAATGATAATATGATTTCCGCTTATTATCTTGGTTACTATTTATCACAAAGTCTTCATATTTGACATATTGATTAGTCATAACTAGTAGATGACCCCATTGATTTTAGGGTCACAATGTCAATGGTTAAGGTCACAGGGGCCTTAAGTGTCTGAATGGTTTCGCTGATTATCTTGAAAAGTATTCATCACAAAGTCTACATATTTCATGTATTGATTAGTCATAACTAGTTATTGACCCAAATTGAGTTTGGCGTCACTAGGTCAAAGGTCAGGGTCACAGGGGCTTTGAATGGTAATATGATTTCCCCTTATTATCTTGGTTACTATTTATCAAAAAGTCTTAATATTTCACATATTGATTGGTCATAACTCCTAGATGACTCCTATAGATTTTGGGGTCACCAGGTCAAAGGTCGAGGTCACAGGGTGTTTGAATGGTAGTATGATTTCAGCTCATTATCTTGAAAGATAATTATCACAAAATCTTCATATTTCAAATAGTGATTGGTCATGACCAACAGATGATCTGTATTGCTTTTGGGGTTATTAGATCAAATGTCAAAGTCACAAGGGCCTTGAATGTCAGAATGGCTTCCGCTTATTATCTTGAAAACTATTTATCACAAAGTCTTCATATTTCACATACTGATTGGTCATAATTAGTAAGTTACCCCTATTGATCTCGGAGTCACTAGGTCAAAGGTCAAGCTCAAAGGGTTCTTGAATGTTAGTATGGTTTTCAATTATTATCTTAAGAGCTATTTATCACAAAGTCTTCATATTTCTAATATAGATTGGTCATACTTATTAGATGACCCCTATTGATTTTGGGTCACTAGTTCAAAGGTCTAGGTCACAGGGGCCTTAAATGTCTCATTATCTTGAAAATTATTTATCACAAAGTCTTCATTATTTTTCTTTTTTCTATAATTGAGCACTTCCATGTAACTTTTTTTAGTAAGTTTCTTTAATAAAATTACCAATAATGTGAGTCAACAGCTAGAAAGGGGGGCATATGTGTCGTTCGATATTTCCTGTTTATATTTTGTTTAAAAAAAACTTAAAAAAGCAATTGACGCTATTATAATGCTTGAATAGTATAATACCTGTCCCTCAGCAGCTGAGCCTTTAGCTTGATGGTTTCTTTTTCTTGTTTTATCAACTTCAGCATATGTTTCATCACACACTGCGGCAACCTTTTTCTTCTTGATTGGTTGAGAATATGTAACGTCACACTGATCGTCTGCAAAGGCGACATCCTTTCCTGACGCAGCATGCTCATTTTCTCTGAATTTTCAAATGCGTTGATAATGTTAATGTTTGTTAAGTTATGGCATCGGTTTGATCCAATTGCTAAAATAATAGTGATACAGGCTAGGTAGTTGCTTAATTGCTATGTATGTAGATACAAACTTAAGTACGTTCCTTATTTCTAAATTTTAAGAAACAAACTGAAATACTTTCCTAATTCCTCATTATTAAGATAAAACTAAAATACGTTCCTTATTTCTAAGTATTAAGATGCAAACTGAAATACGTTCCTTATTTCGAAGTATTAAGATACCAACAGAAATACTTACCTAATTTCTAAGTATTATGATACAGACTGGAATACCTGTTTCATTTATAATTATTGAAATACTTGCCCAATTGCTAAGTATCATTGCTAAGCATTGAGATATGTGTCGAAATTCACATTTACATAACAATATTTTTAGAAAAATAATGACTATTGTTATTTTTCATAATCAATTTTATCACCATCATCATATCACCATATCCACTACAACAACTGGCAGCATCATCATAATCGTCATTTATTTATTTTTTATTCATTTATTATCGATTCGTTATCATTTATAAATATGGCATATCATTTCAATAACAAGTATTGTTTATTTGTACAAACTTTATTGCACATTGTGTAATATTTTCGGAATTTACTATTTGCAAAATATAGAGTGAATATGGAGAATATCTTCTTTAAAAAACCTTTGAAGAAATACTTTGGTAATTAGTATATGTAATAAAATCAACAAACTGCGGAGGAAGACTGTTTCTTTCTTGACTTGGCTGATCTCTTTTATGTTGTGCTGAAAACAAATTTTGACACTGATTAATTTGTAATCTATAATTATTATTTTATAGTATATACATGTATATAGTGTCGGTAATGGTGGAAACAGTTGAAGCAGATAAAACATTTATTTTGTAATCAATAAAAATTCTATTCAAAATTTTATTGCTCTAAGAATGGCACACATAGCAAATAATGCACGAAGTGCAATAGAAAGAAGCGGATTTCTTTATTCATTTTACATTTCAACATTTATCATTCACATTTTCTAAATAGCATATTGATATTAACGAAAAGAAATATTAAGTCTCTAAGCAAATAAGCGTTATATATGCATTTACATATGAAATATTCACTTATTCAATTGAATGAAAATATCATGCTTTAAATTTATAACAATTAATTCTAGATTACCTTGATCGTTGTTTCTTTTTTTCCTGATGGCAATTACCATGACAAGAATTATTACAACCAACGCTAAACATATTCCGACAATGACTCCAATAAGTGTTTCATTTTTGTTGCTGGACATTTGTCTTTGGTTCCCTGTACAATGAAAATAAGTTAACATTAACTGACAACAAATAAAGGGAACTTTTCAGTTTTTATTTCTTTACTTGTTCTTGTGAAATGAGTGACAAATAGGTAGTTTAACAAGTTCCTTATCAGTTACTTGTTGTTTGTGATTTTGGTGGTTTGCCTGCCCGTGCTCTGCCTTTTGCCCCGTCCTGTTTTTGTTTGGGTCCTCCTGTGCTCCTTGCCGCTGACTCTTGTTGCTGGGTCGTGTTGGGTTGCGTTCATTGAATAGAATCTGTGAGATTAAATTAGAGAAAACGTACTTATGAAATGAAGCTTATCAATCGCTGTTATACAACATATATTCAATTCTGTCTGCGGAGGTCATAGACTCTGCATATGATAAAGTCTGTTGTAAATTAAAATCACATTTCAACTGTGTATTTCCAAACAAGTGTTTCAGATCATATTTGAAACCATATTGGTCCCCAGAACTTAATATACTACACCAAAAGATGTTGACTTTACGTGCAAAGTGATGCAGAGCAGGATGACCACGTTTTCGTACTACACTTGAAGAGCAAGAATATTAGAAAGTGAAAACCAAATATAGAACATGTGCAGCACTTTATTTAAAAGTGGAGAGACTGATTCTATGGAATTTGGGAAAGAAGTAAATTCACGAAACTCCACAGTAAAAACATCCGGCGCAGGTAAAAAATTTAATGGCAAAATATATAGAAGTCTTGAAAATTTAGTTGAACAATGGAAATTATACTTTGAAATCTTTATAATGTTCTGAATACGAACACTTGGATAATACTTAGAACAACTTTGTTGATATTACAGTTGACGAAGTGATGACATCATGTAGGACTGATCAAAGAGCACATACTACGTCTCCTTGTGTAGAGGATGCTATCGAAACTCTTCCGAATGGGAAATCGGGCGGCCAAATTAGTATCATGAATGAGCATTAAGCAAAAATATAATTTCCCCAATTTTAGCTAATTTATTTACGAGCATGTTACGTCAAGCTTATATACAGACAGATATGACGAGCGGTATGATTAATACGTTACACAAAGGAAGGAACAAAAAGAAAGATGATACTAATTGTTATAGAGCAATTACACTATCATCATGTATTCTTAATTTTTACAAACTAATGCTCTTGAATAGATGTGCCGAAGATTTACAAAACAAGTTAGCGAGACAGCAGTGTGGTTTTCAGCTGGGTCTTGGATGTTTAATAACTTTTAATATGTTTCGATAATGCATCCACTTTGCAAAAGAAAATTCCTCGAAAGTGTGTGTGCTTCTTGGATGGAAAACAGGCTTTTGACCATGTTTGGCATAACGTACTGTTTTACAAATTACTTAAGTATGGTGTTGACTACACGGCATTTGTATCTCTACATTCGTTGTATGTCAATTAAGAATATCAAGTTCGTTGTCAAGGACTGATATCTGATAGCTTTATTGTATAACAAGGTACAAGACAAGGTTGTAAGAGTTCGCCATGGATGTATCTTGTCTATATCAATGGATTAATTGAAGAACTGGAGGCTAGGGGAGAAGGAATGTGCATCTTTTTCATTGTTTGTTCTCCAACTGTAGCAGCAGACGACACGGTTCTTGTTTCGTTGTTTTAGACTGGTTTTAACAAAATGTTCAGTACATGTTCAGTACATGTTGGGACAATTCAAAGAAATGGAGATTCTATTATAATGCAGAAAAATGTAAAGTTGTCGTGATGAATGAACAACACAAATAAATACATTGCAGACGATTAATTAAGGGGCCTTACATTGTTTCTGAAACCAAAATCTACTGTCATTTAGGTGTTATCAGTGAACAGATTCTGTCTACTAAACTTAACATTGAAAACGCAAGTTCAACGCTGAAGAAAACGTAATTAAGCATAGCCGGAAGTCTTGAAGTGGGTTCTATCAGCCCTGTTACATTAAGTAAAATGTACAAGTATATGGTGTGATCGAGATGATTAATGAGCTCCTATTATAAACAGGATATGCGTGTACTAGAGACTTATTTATATATATAGTATCCTCTGCAAATATTCTCTGATTTGTGTAATGTACAATAACTTAAAATCGAGTTTTTTTTTCGAGTAACGGGCATTGGAAAAATATTCTCGTCAAAGCAGTGCCGTGCCCTGCCATGCGCCATGTCCTGTTTTTGTTTGGGACCCTCCTTGGATCCCTACCGGTGTTTCTTGTTGTTGGGTCGTGCGGGGGGAGCCTTCAATGAACCATATTTTAAGTCTATTCCCCTCCAATATTTTTAAGAAATCAATAAAATGTGTTTCCTACTTTAAAAGCTTTAGTTTCAATTTTGTTAAAGCTTTATAAAAGAAATATGTTTACTTTCAGTAAGTATCATAAGTAGTTGTCACTTTTTCTTTTACATTTTTGTTGTTAGATATAAAAGGACATGGCAGTGTGACTAAACTAAAATGAAAAACCTAGTCATATCCATTATACGAACAAGCAAGATTTCTATATACATGATTTTAGTTATTGTTTTCATATTTTTTTTTGCTACGTTATTGCATGATATTAAAATTGTATTATACTTACTTTGTATATACAGTTATGCTCTTCATTTTTGGAGGAAATAAAAGAATCAATCTAACTTTTCTATGTGACATGAAATAACTGAAGAGCAGACTTACCTCGTTTAGAATTATGTTCACCGAATTGATTTGATGAGTCAGAGCCAACAATGTTATGATATTTGCAGGCATCAGCGGGAATTAATAATTGTTATTATACAACTTAGTTTACATGCACTAATTCATCATAAACAGTCCGCTTACTTTGAACTTTTTCATTTTTTTAAATCTAAAGATCTTCCAAATGAATAAAAACATTAAAATAAGTTTCTTCTAAATACTAAATAAGGCGTGAAAAACACTTACATGTAAAGTTAACTTGTTTCGCTTCGGAACAGTTTCTAGGTGTATTGTACCATTTATTATAACTACAGCAGACGATGTTCCTTCCGTTCCATTCCCGTTTAAATGTTGTCAAGGTAGTAGTGGTGCTGTATAACGAAGTGTCCCTTTTAAATGAAGTCCTCGTATCTACGTCAGTAGACGACACTTCAATACCGGAAATGTTTAAGTAAACATCAGGAGGAGGTCTTGAACTTTGAGTCAGGCAAGTGATGTGAACAGGACTGCCTTCTTTAAGATTGATTGGTGCTGATAATTTAACAGTTGCAGGAGGTTCTGTTTAATAAATAAAGATTTTAGAGAATAATTTATATATATTTATATATCCCACCGATAATCTGATTTTTAAAATAAAGAAGAAAAATATAAAAAGAGTAAAAACAGATTAACGAAAAACGCCAGAATAACAGAAAAAAATGAAAATATTGCTGACTGGCTAAATGTAACTGACTCTGTTAATGAGAATGTTGGTAATTGCATGTTACGGTCTGCGCCGGCTAACATGGGCTAATGCAAAAATCATGTTTTTATAACACTGTCAGATAAAACCTGTTGTAATACAAGCTTAATGTCCTTATTGTTTTCATATAATATTTAAGTATACAAATTTCAAATGTGAACAATATTATTATCTTCTATACTGATCGAACAAGAAATAAATAAAATGTTAAGGAATTAAGCGAATTCTAGATCACTTATGTATGCATTATTGGCATACTTCATGGTGTTTTTTAAATCACCAAATTTTCTTTTTTCTTGAAATCTATTGTTATCCTTGCAATTTTCACATGTGTCAACATATCTTTTTTATTCGTGTTAGTGTTATTGTGTGTTCGTGTTAGATTTCTATTATTGTGAAGACAGGCTACACGTTAATCGTCAGATAAATTTTATCATGCAGTTCAATTACTTAAATGGGTTACATTGTCGTTTTTGTTGTTGTTTTTTTGTATTTGTTTGTTTATTTATTTTTGGTTCTTTAGTTGTAATAACGTGACTCGGATTTTTTTAGATGTATGTACTATTAGTCTGGACCAATATCTTGTATACTAATTTTCATACTCTCATGCCGTTTTCCAGCATAAGTATTTTATTGTGCAAAAATGACCTAGAAAATGAAGAGCTTTGCATCGCTTTTCACTGTAGGAGTAGCACAAAATATGATAAACAAGATCATCAAGGAAAGCCGGCGTTCAATGAATGATTTTATGTATATGAGGTTTTGACCTCGTTGATCTCGTTTAATATGTTTGCAAAGTATTTCAAAAACAAATAGTGTAAAGGAAAACAAGCAAAGCCAGAAATATGTTTATTATTTGAAACAGAAAATTTAAACCTACATGTATATAAAGATTTTGTGAAAGATATTCGTCGAAACGTGTATACGGACGGGCTGTAATTTTCTTGATGTCCCATACAAGTTGTCCTATGTCACAAAATAATGTTTTGTTTTTGTCTTTGTCTCTTTTATAAATATTGATGTTAGGAAAAAGTGTTTATCACATCGCAATTTACAGTTATTATCTAAACAATGAACGGCTGTCAATGCAAAACCATAATACTTATAAATAATAATCCTTATGAGATGCGAATACTGCAAATTAATATGAAATAACAAATTCTATTTAATTGCAATATCTTTATCGAAAAGCACTTTTCCTAAACAATCTTACTTTAATTTTATATTAAGGCCTTTTTAATATCTATAATTAAAAAAGTAAAAAAAAATTGAGTTGGTTAATTTATATGATAAGCTATTACTTACTTATAATATACACTTTTGCAGAAGTGTTAAGTGGTGATATTAACGCATCATTCTTTACCGAACAAGTGATTGTTGCATTGTGATAACGGTCAGCAAGTTTAATAAATGCTATATAAACCGATTTATTAATATCAGATTGCAGTGCTTGAAATGAGTCTTCCCCTACTGTAACATCTGCATTAACCTTTGGTTTCCCGCCACTTGTCTTACAATGCACTTGAATTTCCTCTTTATCAGAACCAACAATGCATTTCTTAAATGTATCAATGTCCTGCAAACCTTCTAATTCTGGAGCACTTGGCGGCACTATAACATAAAAATTTCACATGTATAAGTAATAAATTGAACAATATAAATTATCAGCCAATTATAAGTATAGTGTGTGCCATTTTACTTTAAAAAAGGGTTAACATTATAGTGAATACATTAAGTTGGACTCTAATGGATATTGTTACGGTACAATATCACGAAGTACGAACGCACGGAGTGTATCCATGAAAGTTAAATATATGACAATCTCAAAAAGATACAAAGAGCGAATGTTTATAAGATACCCTTTTAATGACCTTTTAAATTTTACCTCTTCAAATTTAAACTACAATAAGCAAGATAAAAAACTTTACATGGAGTTAAAATGAGCATATTCAATTTCTTATTGGTGCATCCGGATATATCTGATTTTTTTTTTTTAAATTTGCTTCAATTTACTAACATTTTTTCGATCTAACAAAGAAAAAAACAAATCATACACTAACAAATTCTGACCAAGGGGTCCAAATAAAAAATCCAGGAATAAAAGGTGATAGTAAACGAGACTTTTAAGATTCTAAATCTTTGAATTAAAACCAAAATTGTTTATCTGAACAACTCAGTAACGTGTGTGGCCCATGGAACTGGCAATATACGCTCTAATTCTCTTCCTCGTTGAGAAAACCTTTCGCCTGATTAAGACGTTAGGCATGGTTCACCATTCCACCTTCAGTGCCAGTGCGAGGTCGTTAACGCTGTCTATTTGTCCTCAGTGTGTCAGGACAAGACGGTAACGTGGTCGCGAGCTAGAAAATTGGCTTAACCCAGGACCATGAACCTGCATGAATGGTAAGCTTTTTTACCAGAATATGCACATAACCCTAGGCTGTAAGGTTGCCACGCACAATCACAAGCTCTGTCGTCCGGTCTTCCATTATTCTTCCCCATACCATCACACTCCCCCCACAAAACCGACCCCTTTCCCAGATGCAACTTTGAGCGAGACGTTCATTTCTTGCATAGCAGACTGGCGTTTCCGTGAGTTTTACCCATGCCGGAAATTTCATCTGGCATGGGGGTGCCAGATGAGACGCGTGCCAAACAACAACGTCATTTTAGAGCACTTTATGAATGAACCGCGTTAAAATAACGTCGTTTCAGAAGGGAGATATATGCTTCAGGATGACGTCATTTCGCCGTTGTTATTATAGTTGTAAGTTCATACGCTATTGTAAGAAAATAGTTATGGATGAAATGACTTTAATTTCCATGAACATAAATCATATTGAGGTAAAACATTTTAAATATGAAATAAAATGAAATAATATGGCAGAATGTGCAAGAAAAAATATCTGACATATGTTTGCGGTTCGGATCGGAATATCCCAATGGGCGGGTCCCCTCGGGACGGATATTCCGGTCCGAACCGCAACATATGACAGATATTATTTACACCCTGTCGTCAGCATCACTTACTCTAAAGCAGGGTTTGTCGCTGAAAATAACCCGACCCCACTAGTTTCGTGTCAAGCGTTAGTGACGCTGTGCCCAGGACAATCTGGCGAGTATCTGATCAGTATATGGTTTGCAGGCATGAATTTGGAATGTGGGATTGCATAAGGCGATTTCGAATAGTTTCGGCACTGTAGCTTCCGAGCAGGAGCCGTAGCAGGCAAAACTTGTTGCAAAGGTGATTCAGCCTAATGACTTTGGTTGCCTCCTTTTGACGTCATTTGGGGTGCACCAGATCTTGGACGGTTATAAACGGATTCAGTATTATCGAACCGTGTACTGAAATTATGAATTGTTTGCCTAGAACAGAGAAGCTGCTGTTCAACATCCATAAAATTAGCACCCGTTTGCAGCATCCCAATAGACCCTTCTTAAAGTGACATAATGCTCATGCAAGGGTAAAAATAAGTGCACAAATAAATGTCAAAATAAGTTTTCATTTTGTCATTATTCCATTTGATATAAAAATTCATTTCACATTAACAATAAGCAATGCATGGATTCAAACGAGATTTTCGTAAATATCCATTAGAATTTACCTGTAACTTTCATTTCATAAAAAGAGTTAGCAGTCACAGGCACATTTAAATTTTATCCTGAACATTTTCAAATATGGATTGTTGATCAATCACCATTTTAACAGTCAATCTTTTAAAATATATAGTCAGTTCAGCTCAACTTGACTATGAAATATGAGCATAAGGTCACTTTAATATAACCTCATACATATTCATAGATTTCTCAGAACGAGGCTTACAGGGCAAGCTTTATTGTCTGTTCTATGTAAACATATGACGAAGATATGGCCGAAAGAATTTCCTACAGTGACAGAGATCTTGATATTGTACCATTTACTACATACTTGAGAACTTTATTTAACATTACAAAAATCTCTTCTGGAGATAAATAAATCAACAACAGGGTTTAATTTACGCTTTTTACAATGAAGGATATACATGTATTCAAGACCTAAAAAGTGAATTAATGTTTATGATAATTCCAAGTCAGCAATAATTCCGTGCCAGCTTAAATATCAGGTTAACCCTTTGCAATTTAAACTTACATAATCTGTGTTATCAGTATTTTACTGCAAACCTAAACTCATGTTGGTCAAGAGTGTATAAAACAATTAACTGATTATGGATGTAAACAGCTGGATGCTGAATTTTGTACCATACTTGCCCTAAATTAAGCTATTAAAATGAAAAAAAAAAAGTTTTATTCACTTTGTATTTAAAAGTAAAAAAAATCTGGATGACTGTCTAGTAACTGGTTAATTTTATCAAATCAAAAAGAAATATTTTGTTGAGACATGACACCACAACCCCGTCTTATACATTTCAATGGATTTTCATTATCATAACACAAGATGTTGTTTACAGCAATGTGAAAAAACATTTCATGCTAAGTAAGGAACGTAAAACTTATATATTATCAACTATTTTAATTAATTACAGTACAAAACTCGAGTATATAACGAATAACAATCATTTAATTGTAAATATCAGTCAAATCTTAAGACGAAGATGAGTTAAATAGCTTATTGCACTTGTCTAGATGGTTCAACTCGATGATGTGGTCATATTGTTAGAAACCTGTACTAGCTGGTATATAACAAATCATTAGTATACACGGTACTTCTAGAAGATAAAGCCTGGACTAACCAAACCCATACATTTCATGTACTTAGGGGACTGAGCATTTGCGAAAAACCTGTGCAGGACCTTGCAGTCGGAGGGTATTAGGAAAGGCAGCATCGAGTTTCAGCACTTCTTTTAACATTCCAAGAAATATTCACTCAACAGTATTAAGTGCAATAAGAGGACAAAATATGTAATTAACTTGTAGACATATTCCCTTCAGCTGAACAATATAGATTACAAAGCACAATTTTAAAAACAAAGTAATGCGATGATTTCTTTTTAATCATTTATTTTAATTAAAGGCACAAAAGTCTAAACAAATGGTCTTTTAAAATATGCTGAAAAACATTTCGTCAGCTTGTAACATCCCTTTCTTTCTACCAGACAAACTGATTGTTTTGTTTGCTTCATAATAAATGCTTTTAATGTTTTTGCTGATGTTGTATAACATTGAAAACTGTTATGAACAAGATATACAACTGTAATCATTTGTATCAAACGTTCAATATGATATTGATGTTTGTAGTAAACGTTCAATATCACTGTTTGTTTTCTTCCTTAGTTTTCTGTAATTCTTCTTTGAACTGTTTGATAGTTTCTTTTCATCTGTTATGCAATTGCCATGAAGAGATATTACAATTAAAGGCGTTCAAAAACCAGTTGTCAATTTGTGTTCATGACTGTTACCAATGGAATTCCTGAAAAATATATACATTTTATTTAGAAATGGAATCAAGAATTATGACATTTCTAGAATATATCAATTAATATTATAATTGCACATATGTTTTTTTTTACAGTGGCTGAACTTTATTTATGTGTTAAAATGAAAATTAAGTCTTGTGTTGTACCTTTCATCTGGCAAAATCTTGTTCTTTAGTGTTAATCTTACTGTTGTGTTCATTAGTACTCCAGTCAAACCAAGAAAGTACATCTTTTATCTTCAGACATTTTCGAATTGGTGTCCATGATCGTTAATGTAATTGTGTATTATACTTCAAAACGAGCAACTGTTGTCATATATTGATCTGAAATAGTACATAAAATAACCGTTATTGCTTTTTAATATAAAAACGGTATTGATTTAGATTCCGAAGCAATCAATATTTTAAATTTTATAATTATAAGTGTGATATTTAAATGATATTTATGCACGAACAATATTTTTATGTTAATTATTAAGAGAAACATTTAAAACAATGAGAAATCAGTTTAATTAAGGTAAGTAGTAATACAAATAAAGTAGCTTGGTTTAAAAAAGAAAAGAACAATTGAATTTTACCTTGAAATGATCTCACTATTTCTTTTTTTATCCTTTATTGAACTTACATCATTAGGTATTTTATAAAAAATTACCGTATTATCATATCTAGAATTAGAATCACATAGTGGAACACAACAATAAAAATGAGATTTTTCCCGGTAAGTTTAACACACTAGGGCTTATCAGGTCAGACATGATTTGTTTACATTCATGCCCTGTAAGACTCTGTCTCTGGTGATGGAATGTAAAGTATGCATATAATTTGAGAAAGGCCTATAGCCTGAATACGTTGTTTTCAGAGAGCCGTGGCATCGCTTCTGAAAGTCTTAAGATTTAACAATTATGTTTTTGGCGAAGTTGTGAATAAGAGTTTTACTCGACATGACATTAGATTATTTGAGGCGTGCTCTGTGAATCGACGTTTAAGTCGCCCGTGCTTGATACAACTGCCTGCACGAAATTTATCTGGTCTGTGTAGTATCGACACATGTCATTAAAATGAGGCACTGTAATTTAGGTTTACATAATGTAAATTTTCTGAGTGTATGTTTTTACAGTATCGAAACTTTATGATGTCAGCAACGTCCAGAATATGTTAAGGGGTTCGCCCATATCAGGGATTAATCACTTTGTTACAT